GGGGAGGGCGGGGGCTGGGGCATACAGCAGGGGTCCAGTGCCCAGAGCAGGGTGGTTTGGTAGAGGCTCTGCTGAGAAGTGAGGGTAAGGAGGCACTGTCAGAGGAAGGGAGGAGAATGTGGCAGCAGAGGGAAGTGTGTGTAAGCCCAGTGCATGTGGGGCACTGCAGTTAACACAGCTGGAGGGGTGCAGCGGGCAGATGAGCCTGGAGAAGAAGAGTCGCAAAACCCTGTGCAGAGTCTCGAGCAATGAGCAAGCACTGCAGGGTTTCAAGCAGGGGAGTGACATGATCACAATTGTGATTTAGAGGTCAGCTGGCTGCAAAATGGAGAATGGATTGGACGGTGGCATCCGGGAGGCCTGTTAAGACACTGCCTAGTCATCTGTACCAGAAATAGTCGTGGCCAAGGGGATGGAGCTAAGTGGAGAGGTCTGAAGGCTATTTAGGAGGTTGAATTGGCAGGATTTGTTGACTGAATGTTAAAGCAGGAGAAGCAAAAGGTACCTCTAAGATGGTACCTTAGACTCTGGCTTGGATGGGTGAATGGTGATGCCATCCACTGAGGCCTAGTCTCTTTGGGGGAAGAGACTAGGATGTGATAGGTGTGAGGTGCCAGCCAAGTGGAGAATCTAGAAGACAGCTGGATATATGGATCTGGAGCTCAGAAGAGCAAATGTGAATGGTATGTGAAGTCATGGGAGTGGTTTAAGAGTGCCCGGGGACAGGCCACAGCTAGTGACCAGGTCAAAACCCTTGGCCACAACATTCAAGTGAGGGGAAAAAAAATCACAAATGAGGCTGAGAAAGAGAGGTAGAGAGCTAGGAGAAAAAACAAGAGCATGGGAAGAAAGGAATGGGCATTCCTTTAGTGCTGTTCAGAGGTCAAGTAAGATAAGGGTGGGGAAGGATCAATTAGATTTAGCATCAAAGAGGTGTTAATATTGGTGAGTAGAAGCCAGACTAAGCAGCCAGTAGGAGGTAAGTCACCAGCAGCCAGAGGGCATTGGTGGTTTAGTGGTAGACTTCTTGGCCAATTTCACTTCTCCTGCAGCCACCACCCACCTGTTAGTGGAGGCTTGTGTATTACTATGCTGCTGAAGAGGTTTCGGTGCAGCTTCCAAACTAAGGCAGACTACAAAGAAAGGCTTGGCGATCTACTTCTGAAAATCAGCCAATAAAAACCCTATGGGTCACAAAGGTTCTACCTGCAAACGATCGTGGGGATGGCACAGGACCGGGCCACGTTTTGTTCCATTGTGCATGGCGTTGCCATGAATTGAGGGCCAGCTGGATGGCAGGTAACAACAACCAGCAGTCAAGTCCAATTCCTAAATGATGCAGATCCCAACTTCTCATCTGACAACAAATACATTCCTAATGGCTCAAAGACTTCAACATAAAAAACAAAGCAATGAAAGAACTGAGGAAAAATATGGGAGATTAAAAAATAATAATTTCAGAATGGGAAAGGCTTTTCTTTGTATAACACAAAACCAAAGCGGTAAATTAAAAGACTGATAAATTTGCCTACCTTAATTTTTTTCTAAGCTGTCACAAAACAATATAACCAAATTAAAATACAAACCAAAATATGACCTAGAAAAATACTTGAAGTCATATTTTGGATGAGGACAAATTTCCTTGGTATGTGAAGAACTTTTACAAATCAATTAAAATAACAACCACAACAAAACTAACAACCCAATGGAACAATGGGGCAAAGGATAGACATACAGTTTACAGAGAAGGAAACATAATTGCTCTCAAACATAGGACTAGACACCCAATCTCATGCATCATAAGAGAAATGAAAGTTTAAACTACAATGTGATTTTTTTCACCTATTAGATTAACATCTACTGAAAAGTTTGATAACACTTTGTTGTCTGATGATTGTGGAAAAATAGGCAGTCTCCTACATGGTTGGTGGGAGTGTACATTTTGGACAACCTTTATGGAGGACAATCTGGCAGTATTTGTGAAATATTGCACATGCATATGTTCTTGGACTCAGCAATTTTGCTTCTAGGAATTTACCCTATAGGCTTACTTGTATAAAATCATGTATTTGTAAGTTTATTCACTGTAGAGAGCTTTGTAATAGCAAAGATCAGAATCACCCTAATGGCTAACAAAATGAGCCAAGGATATTAAGTTATGTCTATCTTTACCACTGGAGTCCCCAAACGGTTAACCTTCTCAGCTACTAACCAAAAGGCAGGAGGTTCTACTCCACCCAGAGGCCCCTCAAAAGAAAGGCTTGGCGATCTACTGAAAAATCAGCCATTGGAAACCAGTTCTACTCTGACACACATGGGGTATCATTAGACGGAATCGACTGGAGGGGACTAACAACCTTACCAGGGCAGTGTTTTTGTAGGAAGCTGAGGAGAAGGGACTAGACTTCCAAGACACTAGACATGTAGACGCATATTTGATAGTGATCCGTTTAGGGGCAAAGGTTGAAAACGTGAGATGGAATCAGTTCGTCTAAGAAAAGAGCAGGCTCTGCAGTTTGCTCAAGGGCAAGGATCCAATTTTTTTTAATCTTTATGCCCAGGGCATACACATAAGCACAATAAAGAATTTCATAAAATAATATACATATAGGAAAGAGTTGGAGAACCTGGGGCGAATTAGAGAATGGCAGCCAAGATGATACGGTGACATGGAAGCCTGTCAGGGCGTCTGAGACTGAGGAGGGCACAGCACGAGGACAGGACACGCCTGGGCCGGAACGACATTGCCGACTTCTGAATCAACTCTGGAATTGCCCTGTCATTGGACTTCTTGTCCTTTAGGAAAGTAAATCTTCAGTTCTTCAGCGGAAAATGGAAGGGGTTGGATTTCATAATATCTGAGGTTTCTTCTCCGGCCCTCCGGCCCCCTCCGGCCCTGAAATCCCGACGCCTTCCAGCCTTTCTGCGTCGGTCGCCTAGGAAACAAGCGCCACTTCCGGCGGAGCGCCTCTCCTCCGAGGCCCCGCCCATTACCCGAGGGCGGGCGCTGATTGGCCCGTTTGAAATGCGCCGGGCGCGAGCCTACCTGGGCTTTACGGGCCTGACGAAGCAACGCGACCCACCCGGCTCTTAGTTCCCGCGGCTCGGCCGGCGTCCCGCCGTCTTCGCCAGCCCGCCCGATCGAGCCCGGCGACCCGCGCGCGCGTTTGGGCAGCACGGAGCCTGCTGTCATGAAGCCAGCGTGAGTAGGGGCCGGGGAGCAGGGAGGGCGGGCGGTCCGGGCTGGGACCCGGGGCCGGGCCAGTGTGAGGGGCCGGCGTCTCCTCTCGCCGCTGCCGGGGCCGCGACCCCCAAAGTGGGAGTTCCCACGTGTGGCTTCTCAGGGTGAGGGCCAGGCGCGGAGCCGGGTCCTAGGCGCCCGCCGGCTCTCACCATAACCGATCCGGGTGCCCACTGCCCCGCCCTGGCCTCCAGCGGCCCAGAAAGGTCGGCCCGAAGTCGGGGGCTTCTATGCTGTGACTCCGGTTCCTGTTAGGCGCTTGTCATCCACCTGGCTTCGGGACCGCCTCCCCCAACCCTTTTTCAGGTTCCCTTTCTCCTTCCATGGCGCCCTGGTGGCGTAGTGGTTAAGAGCTTAGCTGCTAACCAAAAGGTCGGCAGTTCGAATGCACCAGCCGCTCCTTGGAAACCCTATGGGGTAGTTCTACTCTGTCCTATAAGGTCGCTATGAGTCGGAATCGACTGACGGCAACGGGTTTGGTTTTTGGTTTTCCCTCTCCTTAGTGCCCACGCTTTCAGATTGCATTTTGCAGCGTTAGTGCGAGTCTGCAGGCGACCGTCGAGCTGTGTGGTGCATTCTGGGAGTCGGGGGCTGGTTGGGTGGTCTCAGCCCGCAGAGAGCCCTGGCATTCGTGAGCTTTGCGTGCTTTTCTCAGCTGAGCACCGTAACCAGTGAGGCCGAGACCGGCACCTTATACACATAGGCCAGTTACTTTTGCTGTATTCTTTGGCCGAAGACAACCCCCACCCGCATACACAAACACGCCCACATTCTTCAATGAGTAAGTGACAATATTTTTGGCAAACCGTAATTCCTTGACCGACAATGCGTAAAGAAGTACTTGTGCAAAGAAGGTTGAGTTTATAATTATTATCATTGAGCTAGCCGTTTGCAGAAGGCAACTTGTTTTGTTTAGAGACCAAAGCCAAAATCTTAAGAAGCAAAAACAAAGGTTTAGTTTAAATAAGCCTACCACAGTATTTTGCTCTTAATAACACCAGTTTGCTCCCATTTCATCTGGGAAAATGTTGAGAAAAATCTTTTACTCTACAATCCAAGTCCATAATTTTGCTTAATTATAGTGTTAAATTTTCATCTAGCTGATAGATAAACGCCGGGGGAAAAGTGACATGCTAGAGAAATGGTGAAATACACCCTGATATCTTTTTTTCTATTGTCCCTATGCAAGTTTTAAGAGCAAGAAATTTGCAGTTTGGGACCACAGTTTGTATGGCCGTAGAGGGTGATAGTTTTGAGAATTCAATGACCAGTTGTTCCTTGAAAGTATAGATACACATCTTGATGAAAGAATGAATTCCTCTATCTTCATTTTTATAATTTATTGACGTTAATTGCTTGTCAGTCTGCCTTGCCAGTGGCTGATGGTGCAGTGTGTACTTGTCATATAAAAGCCTTCAAGGATAAGTGTGGTCAATTACCAGTAGTACCTCAGATTGTTGCTCAAGAAAATATGCAAGCTATTTGAAATATAGGACTAATCAAAGAGTAAGTAGGTACATTTGGTACCAAAACTGTATTCTAAGCTAGTTTTAATTATTTTTGGATTACTCATGCCACAAACACTCTTCTACTCATGAATTTATTATTATTATTCACATTATTTGGGGAGCAGTGTTTTGGAACTGCTATGGAATAATTTTATAAACCCTAGGAAGATTGTATTTGTATAAATTATAGATGAAGCTTTTGTATGTTAGTGTTGAACTGCAACATTTTTTAAATCTGTGATCAGGAGGACTAAGACACCCAGGAAACCTCCAGTGAAGAAAGGATCCCAAACAAATCTAAAAGACCCAGTTGGGGTAAGGTCGCTCTGGATTTATGGGTGTATTGTTCAGTTCTTTTCCTCCTCGGGTACCCTTGGCAGGACTGGGAGAAGAGAGATGGAAGTGGAGTCAAAGAAGATCTAGTTAGCTAAAAGGATGTTAAATTGTGTAAGGGGGGTTCTAGTGGTGAAATTTTGTTTCTATGTAGTCCAGTAAAATGGAATCTTCAGTTGTCAATTGCATGCCTCCTAGAACTAGTTGTAAATTGAAAAATTAGATAATTACAAATATTCTTCAACCTGGTTCATACTCTCTGGGATGGGGGATCTTTCTGCTTGGGTGAACGTCTTTTCCCATCTGTAGCGTTGGGTACAGTAACTGATGGCAGGCCTCATGAGGAAAGCCCAGACTCCTTGCTTCTTGGGACCAAATTTTATAAAAGACTCTGACAGAGAATAGCTTAATTCAGTGTATTGCCTGCTCATAATTGCAAGTACTTCACTCATTTCAGGCTTGAGAACTTGCTTTTAAAAGCAAATGACAAGTAAAAGAGGGCTGGTTCACTCTGAGGAGTTTTCTCTGAGGTATTTTAAATCTGTCCCTCGATGGCATTGGGGCATTGGAGCTCATCTCGGTTTGAGCTGAGAGGACCAGATGCTTTGCACACAGCTGAGTAAGTTTTCCTCAGCCTGATCACTGACTAAGGAGACCACAAATTTCAAACCTTGCGCTTACTTATTTGTGCATTAGTGTCAGGTTAAGCTGGCAAGTTTTAGTTGGCATCCAGTTCTGAAGAATTCTAACAGCTTTTAAAATAATTCTCATTGTGTGATAGCTTGTTGATTTTTAGACTGATTCTTATGTTATTAGTAATAACTTTATTATTTGTACACAAAATAATACTGAAGAGAAGCTGGGCAATTTGATGCTTTTTTATCAAATTTTATGTGCATTTTAAATCTTCCTCCATATCTAATATATCTGTTTGCATTTAACAGTCTTGAGTAGTGCATTTGGGTTTTCATAGCTCTCTAAATTGGGAGAACAAATGTTGAGTGAATGAGTGGACAGGTTAAATGAAAAAATCAGAAGGCAGAAGTCAACCTTTGTTCTTTGAGTATCTTCCTGTTTTTTCAGGTGTACTGTAGGGTGCGCCCACTGACCTTTCCTGATCAAGAGTGTTGCATAGAAGTGATCAATAACACAACTGTTCAGCTTCACACTCCTGAGGGTTATAGACTAAACCGAAATGGAGACTATAAGGAGGTAATTCCTATTGGAACCAAGTTGTTTTTACTCGAAATATTGTTTCCTGAATGCCTTTTCCATTTTTTAATTGAACAAAATTCATGTTTTTGAAAAACTTACTTCACTACATTCACTGGATTTAAGGTGTTTTTGATTTCTGGAATGTACAGACACATCTTTGGTATGCTGGAGTTAGTGGATTACTTTTAGGGGATAATTTCTTGTACTGGATGTTTATTGCTTTTTAGAATATCTATTAGGAATAGTTGAACATGCAATGATTTATGATTGTGCTAGGCCATTTATATATATGTAATTTCATGATTAAAATAACATTTATTAATAGGCATTATATATTTGTATCAACCTTTTATGAAGTGTTTTTATTTTTAGTAAAATTGAGCAAAGTGAGTTCAATTCAGCTCAACATTACTATGCTAGTAGCTGGAGGGTGGAGGGAGATTTTAAAAAATGAGTAAGGCGTAGTGCTTGCCTTTATGGAGCTTACAACTTAGTCATGGGGACAGATGGTCAACCAGTAACCCTCATATGAACAAGGCAGAATGGGAGGTGTGCTAAAGAGGGGTGGACTATGGGAATGCAGAAAGAAGAGATTTAATTCAGGCTATTGTCTATTTTCTAACTTGCTTTCACTCCTTTGTCACACAGTGAAATTGCTCTTCAGAAGGCTACCAGTGGCCTCTGTGCTGCTGAATCTGATGTACAGTTGGTCCTCATGGTCTATTTCTCAGCAGCACCCTCCCTTCTGAAGCACTTTCCTGTCTCTACTTCCATCTCTCCACATTCTCTTCTCTCACTGGCCATCCTTTGCTGCTTCCTCTTCCTTTTCCAGCCTCTAAATACCTACTTGGACTCTGCCCTGGGCTCTCTTCTCTAGCTACACTTTCCCATGGCTTTATAGGTCAGTTATATGGTAACAGCTCTGACATTTTTCTCTAGCTCTAATCTCCAATATCCAGCCACTTACTTGACATCGCTGCTTGGATGTCACATAACCAGAAAAACCCAAAAAAACAAACCTGTTGCTGTCGAGTCAATTCTGACTCATAGCAGCCCTATAGGACAGAGTAGAACTGCTCCATTGGGTTTCCAAGGAGCGGCTGGTGGATTCGAACTGCCGACCTTTTTGGTTAGCAGCCGTAGCTCAGTCCAAAAAGGAATTGTCATTTTTTATTGTACTTCAGATGAAGGTTTACAGAATAAACTAGCTTCTCATTAAACAATTAGTACACATATTACTTTGTGACATTGGTAGCTAACCCCATGACATGTCAACACTCTCCCCTTCTCGACCTTGGGTTCCCCATTACCAGCTTTGCTGTCCCCTCCTGCCTTCTAGCCCTTGCCCCTGGGCTGGTGTGCCCATTTAGTCTCATTGTATTTTATGGGCCTATCTAATCTTTGGCTGAAGGGTGAACCTCAGGAGTGACTTCATTACTGAGCTATAAGGGTGTCTTGGGCCATACTCTTTAGGTCTCTCCAGTCTCTGTCAGACCAGTAATTCTGGTCTTTTTTTTTGTAAGTCAGAATTCTGTTCTACATTTTTCTCCAGCTCTATCCAGGACCCTCTGTTGCAATCCTGGTCAGAGCAGTCAGTGGTGGTAGCTGGGCACCATCTAGTTATGCTGGACTCAGTCTGGTGGAAGCTGTAGTATTTGTGGTCCATTAGTCATTTGGACTAATCTTTCCCTTGTGTCTTTGATTTTCTTCATTCTCCCTTGCTCCAGATGGTGCGAGACCTGTGGAGTATCTTACGTGGCTTCTCACAAACTTTTAAGACCCGAGATGCTGCTCACCAAAGTAGAATGTAGAATATTTTCTTTATAAACTATGTTATGCCAGTTGAGCTAGATATTTCCCAAGACCATGGTCCCCACAGCCCTCAGCCCAGTAATTTGGTCCCTCAGAGAGTTTGGATGTGTCTGTGGAGCTTCCATGACCTTGCCTTCGTTAAGTTGTGCTGGCTTCCCCAGTATTGTGTACTGTCTTACCCTTCACCAAAGTTACCACTTATCAATTGTCTATTTAGTGTTTTTCCATCCCCACCCCTCCCTTCCCTCGTAACCATCAAAGATTGTTTCTTTTTGTGTGTAAATCTTTTCAAGAGATTTTACAGTAGTAGTCTCATACAATATTTGTCCTTTCGTGATTGACTTATTTCACTCAGCATAATGCCCTCCAGATTCATCCATTTTGTGAGATGCTTCACAGATTCATCGCTGTTCTTTATCGTTGTGTAGTATTCCATTGTATGTATGTACCATTGTTTGTTTATCCATTCATCTGTTGATGGGCATCTAGGTTGTTTCCCTCTTTTTGCTATTGTGAACAATGCTACAGTGAACATGAGCATGCATATGTCTATTTGTGTGATGGCTCTTATTTCTCTAGAGTATGTTCCTAGGAATGGGATTGCTGGATCATATGGTATTTCTCTTTCTAGCTTTTTAAGGAAGCACCGTATCGTTTTCCAAAATGGTTGTACCATTTTGCATTCCCACTAACAGTGCAGAGTTCCAATCTCCCCGCAGCCTCTCCAACCTTTGTTATTTTCTGTTTCCAAAAAGGAATTATTGATATTTCTTCCTTTAAATCACTTCTCATTTCTTCTCTTCTTACATCTGTGCAGTTGTTCAAGCCAGAAACCTTGCTCTAACCTTTTCTCACCCCCTCATACCACTTCATCAGCAGATCCTGTCAGTTCTACTCCACAGTGTATCTTGAAACTGCCCTTTCATTTCTGTCTCCACTGCCACCACCCTAGTCTGAGCTCCACTATTCATTACTGAGGACATGCTTCTCAAACTATCTGTCGTGAAGGAACAGCTTCTTTATGATTACAGACAGATGCTTTTATCAATCTTTGACACAGCTAATGATGCTAGTTAGACAACACTGAACCTGTTTAGACTCTGTTCGCGAGATCGAAAGCATGGATGTTGCAGCAATGTCACGTGGCCACAAAAGTTTCTAAGCATTTACTCTCAGGTTTTTGTAATTATCTTTTCCAAGATAATTGGTAACAAAAAGATCGGTAACAAAAAGCAGTTGGCAGTCACTGGTTTGCTGACCATACTTTGAGCAGCACTGACGAGACTGTGTTGACACCTAACTGAACAGCCTGCTTCCACTCTCATCCATTTCCATCCACTTTCTTTAATCCATTTTTGTAGAGCAGCCAGGGTGATCTTTTAAAAACATAAGTCAGATCTCATTTTTTTCCTGTTTAAAACCTTCCAAGGAATAAAGTCTTTAAACTGGGCAAAAAGGCAGGCATAATCCACCTGTCTATGCACTCTCTTTATACTCATCCAATCTTTTGAGTTCCTCAGATAAGCCAGAATCCTGCCTCAGGGCTGTGTTACTGCCCTTTGTCTGGTCTTCTCTTTCCCTTGGATCTTAGCATGGATAGGTCCTCATCCTTCAGTTTCAGCTTGTTACCTCAGAGAGGCCTGTCCTGTCTATCCCATCTGAAGCAGCACCCCACCCTCTCTTCTCCCTTGGTCTGCACCCTGTGTATGTCCTTTGTAGCATTTACCGCAATCTAGAGTTATCTATTTACTTGTTCATTGTCTCTCTTCCCATTAAATGTAATCTTCAAGAAGATATGTACCTCATCTGTCCTGTTCGTCACATGCTCAATAAATATGTCAAATATATTAAAAATAAATAAATGATACTCCAGGAAGAATTTTTGGAGGAGTAGGCCTTTGAGGATGTGAAACAGTTGAAAACTGACTTATTGAATTTTACTTCTTTGTTAGAATTAATTTCAAGTATATAGAATAGGTTTAGTGGAGATTAAGAATTCTTACTACTGACAGTATAATGCAGTATTGTATAATGGAAATACATGATAAGATTATATAATAATGGAATACATTGAAATACATTGGACTGGAAATGCATTAACACCATTTCCCCTGTGGCTTGAGCGGGTTCCTCCTCTGAGGGGACCTCAGTTATCCTCACCAGTTAAGGAGGGTCAGCTGTTCACCCTTTCAGCACCATTCAGTGTATATCCCGTTAATTCCAAGATTCTTTGTTCTTTTTTATGAACTGTGAAGCTGTCATAGGATTAAAATAAAAACTTTCACAAAGGTGGGAGTTTGCCTAGCTTAAGTAGGTATGTTATCTTGGACAAGTTATTTAACCCGTTTCTTCACTTATAAAATAAGCATAATAATTAATAGAACTTACGTCAGAAGTTGCAAGAATGAAATGATTCAGTGCTGTGCTTAGGCAGGGCCTGGGACATGGCAGGCGCCAAGTAAGTGTTAGTTATTACTATTATATATTTGAGCGCTAGTTTACCCATGTCTCCTTTTGAGGGATAAAACTGCCAATTTTTAAAACAAAGGTTCATGATTCTAGTATCAGAGCAGGTTGATTTTAAGGTGAAGGATGTTAAACAGGAAAAAGGGGGAACATTTGACAAAGCTATAAACCATATTAAATTTTGTATTTATATACTCATGCACCAAATAACTTAGCATTGAAATTCATAAAACAAAAACTGCAAGAAATTCAAGAAACCTGCAGAAATAATTGCAATGTCTACAATCCAGTAAAACAAAAAAATAACAAAAATAGCAATAAAAGAGCTCCCATTCCCTTGGCAACTCAGACATTTTAATTTAAATTAAAAAAAAAAAAATGCTCATAGACCACAACTACCATGGCCTCCACCAGACTGAATCCAGCACAACTAGATAGTGTCGGGCTACCAGCACCAACTGCTCTGACCAGAATCACAATAGAGGCACCTGGACAGAGCTGGAGAAAAATGTAGAGCAAAATTCTAACTCACACACACACAAAAGACCAGAAGTACCGGTCTGACAGAGACTGGAGAAACTCCTAAGAGTATGGCCCCCAGATACCCTTAGAGCTCAGTGATGAAGTCACTCCCGAGGTTCACCCTTCAGTCAAAGATTAGACAGGCCCATAAAACCAAACGAGGCTAAATGGGCACACCAGCCCAGAGGCAAGGACTAGAAGGCAGGAGGGGACAGGAAAGCTGGTAATGGGGAACCCAAGGTCGAGAAGGGGAGAGTGTTGACATGTTGTAGGGTTGGCAACCAATGTCACAAAACAATATGTGTATTAATTGTTTAATGAGAAACTTGTTTGCTCTGTAAACCTTCTAAAGTACAATAAAGATATATATATACACATAAATATATATATATATAACCCAATCTAATTTTCCAGATGGGGGTTTGGTAATGTCTTTGGTAGTATGGTTATACTTTATAATTTATTTGGAAAAAGATTTGGTAATTGAAGTAGTCTTGCCTTCTTAAAGGCCACAATTTATTTAACATTTATTTTGTATAAGAATTTAAGATCGTATTAACATTTTATTTCTGGTCTTAAAATGCAGCATCAAAACACTTGGTTTTATGCTGCTATGCTACTTTAAATGATACCTTTATAAAGAAAAAAATAAGCAGTAAAATAGTGTATGAAATAATGCTTGAGGATTTTCACAAATCTAGGACTATGAATCATTATAATACCCTTTAGTGTTCTTGTCACTTAATTGAAACAAAGTCAGCTTTGGTTTATGAAGCGTTAGTGGACTTAAGATTTTCTACATTCTCTGTACTTGGCCACTGAAAATACTTACCAGTTTGTAAGTGGTATAGTTTAGGGTATGTCATGACTTTTAGTGAGATGCTAAGAAACAAAGGGTTCCAAGTTGAAAGGCATTTGTATTATTTCTTTGTGTATTTAGCTCTTACATGTTTAAAAAGAACTTTCTTAATAAGTTGAAACCAATGTATTTCTCACTTAACATATAGTGGAATCCCATATATGCATGTTTAATTTTTTCCTTATCCACAGACTCAGTATTCATTTAAACAAGTATTTGGTACTCACACCACCCAGAAGGAGCTCTTTGATGTTGTGGCTAACCCCTTGGTGGATGACCTCCTTCATGGCAAAAATGGTATGATTTTTGGAATTTTCGTTGTGTTTTTTCCCCCTTTCTGATAAAACTTTTTGATTTATGTTTGACATTAAATTCAGAACTGTTAGGGTGGTAGTAATCTGGCTTTTATAAGCCGTTCATTTTTAGTGTTTGCGATACAGTGAAGAAATACTATAAGTGGAGAACTTTTAAGATTTGACTGATTGTGACTTGCTACATTGTAGGTCTTCTTTTTACATATGGTGTTACCGGAAGTGGAAAAACTCACACAATGACTGGTTCACCTGGGGAAGGAGGTCTGCTTCCTCGTTGTTTGGACATGATCTTCAACAGTATAGGGTTGTTTCAAGCTAAACGATATGTAAGCAATTATTTTGCGTTGTGACTATTTCACTTACCAGCACAGGGACTAAGAAACCTATGGATACAATGGTATTAAGAAAACTAAAGTGCTGGATCCATTTTGTAAACTTTAAATATGTTTAAATGTTAAATATGCTTCTTATTTAAGTCAAAGTCTAAGAAACTTGGTCTGATTTTTGCCCCACTTCAGGTTTTTAAAGCTAATGATAGGAATAGTATGGATATACAGTGTGAGGTTGATGCCTTATTAGAACGTCAGAAAAGAGAAGCCATGCCCAATCCAAAGACTCCATCTAGCAAGTAAGTAGTTACATTTGTATATACACTGGCCTAAGGGGCACAGGATTTTGTCAAGCGGTTTCCTTGAGTATAGGAAATGGGGAACAATAGGTAGAGAAGTTGGTCTGACAGTTGACTTTAGTGAGGTAAAAGTTGAGGAATGTTCTTAAGTTTATTTGTTCGTATTTTTTCTTTGGTTTTGAGCATACTACCGTCGAATCACTGGTTAGAGACTGTGCCGCTCTGGGTGGGGAGCGGGTGTCAAAGACTGTGCTGTGTATCTGGGAGGACACAGGGTGCTGTTGGGGGTTGTGACCATGTGTAAAGTTGCTTTGTGCACTTCTGCTTGTAATGGCAAATCATTTATATCTTTCAGATTCCGTTTGGGGTCATTCACTTTTGATATTGACTCACGATGTAGAAGATTAGACTGTTTTGACTTTCTTTTTCTTTCCAGACGACAAATAGATCCAGAATTTGCAGATATGATAACTGTACAAGAATTTTGCAAAGCAGAAGAAATTGATGAAGATAGTGTTTATGGTGTATTTGTCTCTTATATTGAAATATATAATAATTACATATATGATCTATTGGAAGAGGTGCCATTTGATCCCATAAAGCCAAAGTAAGTAGTGAAGAGAGCTGCTTCTTAGCTGTGTAACCTTGGGAAATCAGTTCACCTCAATGCTTCCTTGACTGTAAAGGGGAGTAGTGCTTACTTTTTCCGGTTGTTGTCAGAATGAAGTGGTATAATCTGTATATCATGTAGTTGGTGCACAATGTATCTTCTATTATTAACTAGATCTATGCAGCTGTATTAGGGAACCAGTGGGTCAAGGCATCCAAGGAAAAAAGTGATCTGAATATCCATCTTAGGGGTAACTTTTGTAAACTTTTGGCCCTAGGCTATGTTTTGAGACAGATCATAATGAATTCTATCAGGAAGTGTCCCTGTGAATGAGGTATGAAAGGGCTACCTTTGAAGAACCTGACACTAGCACTTGGAGTTTTGTAGCCTCTGTAATCATCTTGCGTCTCAGTGATCTCTACATAATAGAGCCTAAAGCTGTTGTCTCTACAACTAACACAGACCCTCTGTGAGGCGCAGTGACATCTGCATCATCATTCCACCAGAGTTAAATCACTGCTCCTTAGATTTCTTTGGGTCTTGCCCTGCTTAGACTAAAGACCAGTTGCAATCTGACATCACAAACAATAAATCTGCATTTGTGCCAGAGCTGACTCTGGAAACTTACATCTAATACTAGTGGCTTGTCCTCGAGCTGATGATTCTGTTCTAAAGCCAAAGGTTTTTTTAAATACTGTCTTCACTAGGGTCTGTTAGCACATAAATAATATGTTGACCTGTGTCTTCTATTTAACTTTGTGTATAAGCCTAATGAAACATCACTGGGGAAACAGCTGGATTTAGAAAATCATTAGACTGAGAACAGATGTTGGTATATTCAGTTTTATTTACATTAGTCAGTTTATAGACTGGTCGAGGCCACACTTGATAAGTGTTTCTGTGGTTGTTCCTGAGTCACGTTTTGGTGCAGTTACCCTGAGTCCTTGAATTTTCATCTGCATTGATTAAGGAAGCGATTACAAAATTGCTAAGTAAACCAAATTTAATCACATTTTAGATTATGAGTTTATATGAAGGATGACTTTGCTTCCTTTTGTGCTTTTGCTCTACTTAATCCTTCCGCAAATGAGAACTTTACAAAGGGACTTATTCTGGAGCGACCTATCTTTATTTACCCTTGGAATCTTGGTATTTAAGAGAGAGATTCTTGGGGTTAGGTTATAGAGAAATACATGAAGGAGTACAGAACTTATGAAACAATGGTTTGTATCAAACAGATTACTTTCAGTGTATCAGCTGTGTTGACTCTGGTTTTGTGTGTTTACTCATTCTTCTAAATCTTTGTGATGTCATTCATCACTACCAACCAGTTTCATTTCTGTGCATGCGCCAAGTTTTTGTTTGGTTTGTTCTCAAGGAGATTAATTTTAAAGGAGACGTCCATGGCGTTCATTTAGTTATACAAAAGGAAGGCTGACACATGTGTCTTCTGTGCCTTGTAACCTTTCTGGTAACTCCCTGAGTGAACTTACAAGGGTGCGGTTCCCTGTCACCTGTGCTGCACTGAACCTGTTGCTGTGACATGACTGCTGTAGGAACAGTGACTTACACCTTATTCCTTTGGTAGGTGGAACAGTTGCAGCACTCCCCTGAGGAACACAGATTTTATGTATGTGATGGGGTTGGCTCTTTTCTTAGGGAGAAGGGTACAGTTACGCTGGTAGTTGGCATCTGTGGTGTGTTTGCATGTAGATTGTTTTTCATTGGCAGTGGGCTGGCTGCTACCTCCTCTAAGCCCCTCCTTGCTTCCTGAAAAATCTGCCCATGTCCGTGATGGTGGTTGGTGAATGTCCTACCTCCACCATTCACGAGACTTGAGGCCAAACAAACAGCACCTTTCCCACCCTCATCCTACCACACGGACTACAACTTGACAGTCACTTTAAAAGGACTGCCATTCCTGGTGTATGCCAAACTCTTTCTGAATTATTTTTTTTACTGTTGCTGAGGAGGTCAGAATCAGCTCTATCTGCTGATCTTTTAAAAGTAGGAAAATAGTCTAGATTTTGCTGTTACCTGTGCACGTGTTGTTGCTGTCATGCTGCTTTGGTCTCTAGTTGTTAGTGTTGTTTTGTGTGCTTTGTGAGTTAGAGCAAACTTTTAAAATAATCAGTGCCTGTTACCCTGTTGTGTCACTAATCTTGACTATATCTTTATAATCTTATTAAAGTTTAATACTTCTCTGGGGTCTGTCTTAAGCTTATTCCCATTTTAAGAATGGATGTCATGTCGTCTGACATTTTAGTCTTTGTCTTAAGTGAAGATACCGGCATCTCATAATTTAGGACACTGACTTTTTTTCTTTCTCATAGACCTCCACAATCTAAATTGCTTCGTGAAGATAAGAACCACAACATGTATGTTGCAGGATGTACAGAAGTAGAAGTGAAATCTACTGAGGAGGCTTTCGAAGTGTTCTGGAGAGGTTAGAAACAGAATTGCAAAAATATAAAATAATAAATGTAATTCTAAGAGATGCTACTACAATTTGACAGCAATACTTTTCTGAGGAATGGAAAGCATGTGTAATGACACGGCTGAGTTCAGGGTTGATCAGTGGTTTCTCTGTCATCATAGGCCAGAAGAAGAGGCGTATTGCTAACACCCATCTGAATCGTGAGTCCAGCCGTTCCCATAGTGTGTTCAACATTAAATTAGTTCAGGCTCCCTTGGATGCAGATGGAGATAATGTCTTACAGGTAAAGTAGTGTGTGACGTCTTTCTTGTTCTAACTGAATCCTTAATTTCTGCAGTTAAATCAGGGAGGTTTCATTGCAGTTGAGATTGCTCCAGGATTAATATATGTGTAGGTGATGCCTTTTTTTGTTTGTATGTTTGTTCTATGAGGTAGTTTTAGGAAGCTGGGTAGTAGATCTCAGAACCTGGGATTTTGCTGTGAAGAAGGTTTACAAAGCTTTATAAATTTAATAAAGGGGATAAAAGGAGAAGGACGTGTGATTCGTTGTTTTATCTCTGAAGACTCATTTTGAAGTGGCAACTCAGTTAATGATTTTGGAAGGTCACCAATTAATTTACTAGGTATACAGCTCAAGAGGTGGCCTGTGTTCTAAACTGTTCGTCTTTTTGGCTGATAGGCCAGGGAGCTCCTCCATCTGTTGATCACTGTTTGCTGCTGGGCCTTATCATGCTACAAGGCTTATATTAATTAGTAACAGCATTTGAGGCCAAATATACATCATTTAATAACTTCAAGCTATTAAGGTGTAATTCCATTCAAGTTATATCATGAAACTGGCAGTCATTATGAAGGTTTACAGATGGAAAGAGGAGATGGTACAGCTGGGCAGTTTAAATGCAGCCACTGGAGTGAAGACTGCCAGGAATCCTGATTCCTGTGTATTCACTAGTGTTCTGATCTAAGTGTAACAGAACCTCCCTGCTTAGGTTGTGAGGTTAAAGGAGGTAATGCATGCAGAGCTGTTGTTCAAGTGCTTGGCTTATAATAAGCATCAGTAAATGTTAGCTAGAACATGGTTATAAGGCAAGCCTCCGTATACGTTTGGTTTCCTTAGAAGCACATCTAATATTAAAACGTCAGTTATGGACCTCTTGACTTTCATTTCTTATTATAAAAATCATTAAAAGTATTATGAAATTATTAAATTGTTATAAAATTATTAAACTCCTAGTTATACAAAAATTTAGGATATCCCTGTTCTAGACTTCCTCTTTATTCAGCAAATATTTATTGAGTTCCTGCTAAGTGCTAGACACTATGCAGGGTGCTGGAGATAAAGTGGTAAAGAATGCAGAGAGTTACTGCTCTCATGGAGCTTATGGTCCAGTGTAGAAGACCAGGCGTCAGGAGTATATTTATCAAACACTTTTAGTAAACTCTCCTCAAAACATTTACCATCACCTCTCTGCATTTTGTATTACACAAATAGCGTATTCATGTGATTTGCTAATTTGTTGCTTTGGATCTATTTAAAGAACACTGTAAACAAGTTACAACTCATGTTATTGGCTTTATGACATTCCTTCAGGAAAAAGAACAAATCACTATAAGCCAGCTGTCCTTGGTAGATCTTGCTGGAAGTGAAAGAACCAACCGGACAAAAGCAGAAGGGAACAGACTACGTGAAGCTGGTAAATAAAGTGTAGTACTTACTGCTGCGACTGTCAGAAATTGCAATGCCAGTTTATTATCTGTTTATTGATAGGAGGTTGAAACATAATTGTCTTCAATTAGATCATTTAGGGGTTAAGTTGAATGGTCAATGGTATTTCTTTAGTGATTCCGTTTTGGTATTGATGTAAGAATAAGGGAGATTGACTAAATAAAAAGTGAATATGTATTGACAGAGTCTGTTAGTTAGTATCTATTGGTAGTATTATAGGTCACTATTGGGTCCTTAAAATTAAATGAATTAGCAGTTATCCAAATATTCATAGTGGTAAGAATCAGCTTCTGGAGACGGGGAAAAAATTTTTGAACACAAAAGCCAGTTGAAGGAAATCTGTTGTTTTTTTTTAAAATCTTTGGAGTAGCCATGTAAGTTGTATTTATGTTAATAAATATTTATTGAATACTACTGTGTGCCAGAACACAGGTGTAAAGGATGAAGCCCTGTACTTGAGAGCTCAGCTCAGTACAAGAGATGATAGGAACTAAGGAGACCCTCTAGTAGAGTGATGAAGTGAGTTCAAGGCACTGTGAGAGTAGAGTAGCAGTCTTGGGGGTGGGGAGGGGGTTCCTGGGAGCATTCATGGAGCTGACACTTAAATTGAGGAGCAGGGAGCTATGTGAAGAAGGATAGGATTAAGGGCATCATCGTTGCCAGGGGAGGAAGACACTTAGACCAAGTCCTTAGAGTATGGCAAGGTCAGCTTAGCTGAAGTGGAGGTGTGGGTTGCGATGTGGGTGAGAACTGAGGTAGGGGAGCAAGGCAAGGTCATGAAGACCCTTGTCTATCATATTAAGACATCTGAATTTTATCTTGAAGGAATAATGGTAACTACCTATTATTGAGGGTCTAGTGTGTATCATAGTATCTACTATGCATGGGCTTGATTTCTTGATTCTGAATTTTCAGGATTGTATCGTCCCCATTTTTCAGATGAGGACATTGGTTGGGGGAGGTTAAATAATTTTACCACGGCTGGAGTCTGGGTTCAAATCCAAGTTGGTTGGACTCTCAAAACTAGTCTTCCTACTATATTAAATAGCTTTCCCTTAAAATCAACGAAGGACTAGTCTTTTAGAAAGATCATTTTGCCAGTGTAGAACATGAATTTACCAGGGACAAGTCTGGAGATATGAAAGAACAGTTAGGAGCCTTTTTTAGTAATTCATTAGGTGCTTTTGGTAGGATTAACCTTGACGAGTAATGAAGTTTAGCTGGATTGAGAACAAAGTAAAAGCCTGAAGACCTTGATGCTTTCAGGACAAAATGAAGAGGACTATCAGTATTAACGTGGGTGAAGAATAGGTGTGACAAGAGTTCGAGTGAGAAAACTAGAGTAAAAGGATTGGGGCTCGGGTGTATGACAGGCATTCAGTTTGCATAGGCAGTGCAGTTCTAAGCAATAAGGTTCAGAGTCTGGGCATGGTTGTGCAGCTGGAATAGGGAGATAAGGATTTACTGGAGTTGAGGAGGACAGCGCCCGCTGACGTCAGTACGTGCAAGTGACGATCCTTATAGATACCAGGTTAACCCGGGAGCTGGCATCTAGGAGGAACATTTGGAGGCAGTAGCAAGGAACTAGGAAAAGGTTGCTTGCTGTCCCTATGCTCACCATCCTTGTAGAATGTCAGGCTTTAGAAGACAAGCAGCCTTACTCAAAGGCTACAGGGCTACAGGGGAAGCATTACTCTTCCGGCAGATAACAGTTAGGTTGCACAGCTTCTTAACCTTTTTTGTGCCATGGAAGCAGAGGGAAGCCTGTGGACCCTTCTCAGAATAATTTTGAATGCGTACCATAAAATACATAGGATTACAAAGGCAACCAATTATATATATTGAAATGCATTTAAAAAATATTTTAAAAGAATTAGTGTTATAATAATTTATGTGCTTATTATAATAAAAGCTTAAATAACCTAGCAGCAGGTCCAATTACACAATTTTGAGGTAGTGATGAACATAGCTATCTTGAGATATCTGCAATAAACTGGAATGTGCTATTAATAAAATCTGTAATTTCTACTGATTAAATCACAGGCACTACTAATACTACTTTGGTCTTTTTATTTTTTTTTTGGCCTGGGTTCATAATTGAAGGAACTGCTAAATTTAAATTAGGGGTCAGTGAAAAATAAAGATGTAATTTATATCCCATCCAAGTATGCAGGCTCCCTGAAAGCTACCCATGGACAACATGGATCCTGGGTTAAGAACCCCTGACCGTTAAGGGAGGGAGGTGAATGGATCATTCCATGAGTGGCTTGAGGAAGTCAGAGAAATCTGTTGACGGCAACATGAGTTCCTGATAGCACACTGGGAGAGGAAAGAATCATTGGGAGTTTGGACCAAGGAAGAGAATCATGAACCATGGAAATATTATGGGGGTACATATGAGTTTTGTATTCTGGGAGGTGGACAAGGATGAAAGCAATGGTAGAGTTAGCTGACTTAATCAATGTTCCAAAATGAACAAATTCTTAATTATTTTGGGGGTCTATGCCAGTGAGACCTTCTGCATTATTAGAGGGCTGGTTGATCTGTCAGACTTGCCTTTGCTCAGAAATCCAAACAAGAGTGGTCAGGAGTAATCATGACTCCTAAGAAATCCTTGTTCAGACGTCCAGGGGACAGAGTTAGCTGGTTCCTAAGATGCTTGACTGTTAGAAACAGCAGTAACCCCTGTGGGGCTGGGGAGCTCTCTCGGAGCCAACACTCGCCTGAAATGGTCATACTTTAGGACATTATTTTAATATAAGGATATTAAACACTTGCATCTAATATCCTCTTTCACAGAATTTAGAATTTGGAAGAAATCTTACTGGTCATTAAGTCCAATATTTCATTTAGTAGAGAGAATCCATTTGATAGAATCTCTAAAACAATAACTAATTTCTCCTTAAATACTGCTATTGAAAGCTGAGCCGTGCATGGACAGCTCTTTGAATCAAGCAACTAAAATTTGTTATTTGTAATTTCCACCTAATAGTTTTATGAAGTATAGATTTTATAGGCAAACAAAACATACTTTAGCTACTATATTGTTTTCAAATGTCTTCTGGGTTTTTTCATCAGGTAACATCAATCAGTCACTAATGACGTTGAGAACATGTATGGAAGTCCTCAGAGAGAACCAAATGTATGGCACTAACAAGGTAGACAGTCGTCTTCTGTAATCATTTGTACTTTCATTTGTGTGCCTTTTTTGCCTCATGTGTTTGGATTTGGATGTATTTATAGATGGTTCCATATCGAGATTCCAAGTTAACCCATCTGTTCAAGAACTACTTTGACGGGGAAGGAAAAGTGCGCATGATTGTGTGTGTGAATCCAAAGGCTGAAGATTATGAAGAAAGTTTGGTAATTTTATATTTATTTATCCTATAAAGTATCAGAGTTTCTGTAGGGAAAACAGATAATTATTTGGATATGAAGAATGACATTTTGAACTGTGAACTAACAACCAAACTATATTTCCTTATTTGATGATTTCTGAAGGACTTAGATATACTTATTTTTTAAAAATTCCATTTGTTTTGTATCTTAGCAAGTGATGAGATTTGCAGAAGTGACCCAAGAAGTTGAAGTAGCAAGACCAGTAGACAAGGCAATATGTGGCTTAACACCTGGGAGGCGATTCAGAAACCAGGCTCGGGGAGGTCCAGTTGGAGATGGTATGATTTGGTGTTAATATCACTTGTCCAGTGACTGGTCTCATATTTTTCAAAGTCTTTTTCCACATAAGAGAACTGTTTGCTTCCATCCTTTTAAGAACCAAGTGCAAAAAATTTGAACTAAAGTATAAATGAGATTTTTCCTGTTACATACTCATTTTGTAGGGGGTATGATTATGAAGACTCTAGAAGTTACATGGTTAATTGGACTGGGCTGGAATCACAGTGTTAAACCTGTTTAAATAAGCTCTTTCTCCACTGTGTAACTTTTATAATTCTTTTATAATTCAATACAGAACCATTGGTTACAGATGTGGTTTTGCAGAGTTTTCCGCCTTTACCATCCTGTGAAATTTTGGATATCAACGATGAGCAGACCCTTCCCAGGCTGATTGAAGCCTTAGAGAAACGACATCACCTACGACAAATAATGATTGATGGGTTTAACAAACAATGTAAGGGCAAAATTGTTTGCAATCATGTCAACTTCAGAAATGCAAAGAATCTGCAGTGAATCTTAAGTTCTTTGGTGGTGTGCATATTTAGGGAAGGGTTATTCTGTCTCTATACTTTATAGTGCTCAAGGCATTGTTTCATTAGACTGACAAGGAGTATCTTTTCTACAGCTCTCTTTTATATTCCTAGACAGTAAAACAAAAGAAAAATGGGTGTGTGTGTGCTCCCTCCCTTTTTTTTTACCGACATGATGGACGCACAGCAATAATAGCTACTTTGTTTTTAACTCCTGCTATTTATAGGCACTTGACATATTACCCCTTAATAACTGTGTTCTTGGGCAAATGACTTAATCCATATCTTATTTTTCCTATCTGCAAAATGGTAATTGTTCCTACCTCAGGGGTTGTTGTGAGGCTAAGTGAGATAATGTATGAAAATCACGTAGAATAATGAGAACTAGTACAAAGTAAGTGCTCAGTGAATGTACCTACTATTTTGTTATCATCACCAATGCATTCTAATCTTAAACTTGTGAGGTGAGTGGTATTTAAATCCCCATTTTGAAATGAGGAAGTATGCTCAGAAACATTAAATAACTTGCCCAAAGTCACATCACTAGTAAGTGGTATACTAGGGATTTCAAGTCTGGTCTAACTTAGAGCTGAGCTCTGGTCTGACCCCAAACCTTATGCTGTTTCTATTCTGACAGCTGTTCTGAAGCAGGTGATCGGCCTGAAATAAGTGGGTCATAGGGGATGGGAAAGGGGGAGGCCATAGTGCAAAATGAAGGACTTAGCTTTTTCTTCCCCCTAGAAATAAGCAGAATTGTGGACGTCTTTTGTAGACCTGAGAATCACACTCCTGATATCCTTTCAAATTTGTTTTCTGTTTACAGCCAGACTTTCAAATAGAGATTTGCTGAATGGCTATATTTTATACACCAAAAACCAAAACCAACCTGTTGCCGTTCAGTCAATTCCAACTTATAGCGACACCATAAAGTCCCTGGGTGGCGCAAACGGTTTGCACTGGGCTGCTAGCGGAAAGGTTCGTGGTTCGAATCCACCCAACAGCAGATTTGTCTATCTAACCCTGACTTCACACAGCTACCTCTAACTGCAGTCCAACCCCTCAGGATTCATTCTAACTTCTTTTCCATGTTTGTAACTCCCTTCCCTGGGTGTTTCAAACAGTTAACAGTCAGCTGCTAACTGAAACATTGGAGGTTTGCATTCACCCGGAAGTGCCTCTGAAGAAAGGCCTGATGATCTACTTCCCTAAGATTACAGCCACTGAAAACCCTACCCAGGGCAGTTCTTCTCTGACACGCATGGGGTCACCATGATGATTTATAAAGTATCTTAATTAAAGTTTATTTTGTTAGTAATTTTGGATTTGGAGTAAAACTGCCTGTTGTGCCTTTGTTTCAGCTGTTACTTTTAAAGCTTTGTTACAAGAATTTGACAGTGCTGTCTTAAATAAAGAAAACTACATTCAAGGAAAACTAAATGAAAAAGAAAAGGTGATCTCAGGACAGAAATTGGAAATAGAACGACTGGAAAAGAAAAACAAAACTTTAGAATACAAGGTTTGTTTTGGCATTATTATTATAATGATGTGCTGGCTGTTTAACAGTGGCCTCTGCTGTTCTGCTTTGTGGCCTTGACCGCTGACCACTGCTTACTGTAAGTCATCACTTGGTTATTTATAAATCTTCATCCCATTCCAAAGAGTGAAAAGCATACAAGAGAAAAAAGGGATCATACACAGGTATTAATTTTATGAGTAGGACTTTAGCAATTGAACAGAATGTTCCCTAACCCAAAAAAGTGAACTTTCTATAGGACTTTCTAGAGTTTACCTTTAATTATAGCTTGCTTTTTCATTTATTAGAAATATTTCCTCAATATATTTCTTAAAATAATCACATGAAATAAATGATTAAATGAAATAATATAAAAGTGTCAGCATAGTGTCTTGAGTATGACAGATACTCAGTAAATGTTAATTGGATCCCTATTTGTTCTTACAAATCAGATTGTGAAAGAGCCTAAACTCAGGATTGACTCCTTCCCATGGACTAGAAGGAAATACTGTTTTGTCTGGGAATGTTGCAGCACTGTGTGATACATGCTTGTTCTTTCATTTACAGAGGATCATTTAGGGGTTGGGGAAGTACACATTCACACAAGAGAGAAGCTAATCTCATTACAATTTTCTCTATTCTGAAAATAACCTAGAAAATTAAAATTTTAGGCCTTAATTTTAGAGGAAAGTCAAGTATAACTTTGTCTTCCAGTGAGGAACTTGTTTAATAGGTTCTTATTTCTAGGAATGGAGGTGGAAATTCAGATGAAATATTAGAGGAGGAAAGTACTTTCTCTGATTTTCTTCCCATAACTATGCTTGTATAAGCAAATTAAGAAAGATTGTTTTATAGCTATAGAAAACGTGTACATATCAAATGTGGAGCATAATGGTCTACCTTTGCAGATTGAGATTTTAGAGAAAACGACTACTATTTATGAAGAAGATAAGCGCAATCTGCAACAGGAGCTTGAAACCCAGAATCAGAAACTTCAGCGGCAGTTTTCTGACAAGCGCAGATTAGAGGCCAGGTTGCAAGGCATGGTGACAGAAACAACAATGAAGTGGGAGAAGGAATGTGTGAGTGTCATTCTTGCACGTTTGTCTCAGAGTTGGACGATTTATTTGAAATTGTAGTTTGTTTTTGTATTATTGTACTTGGGGTCAGGTTTTGACGGTGCTGGCAATAGTAGCCACTACAGAGTTCATCTTCACTGTCCTCAAAATCCATGACAGGTTAATTAGCATGGTAAAGCATAGTTAACTCTCAGGAAGACTTGGAGAACTGTCAGTTTGAGGAATACAGTGGTCAGGCAATCTGGGAGCTTCTCTGGTGTGTCTGAATTAGTGCATAAACTGGCGTTGATGATCTGTAGGAGCGTCGAGTAGCAGCCAAACAGCTGGAGATGCAGAATAAACTCTGGGTCAAGGATGAGAAACTGAAACAGCTGAAGGCTATTGTCACCGAACCCAAAACGGAAAAGCCAGAGAGACCCTCTCGGGAGCGGGATCGAGAAAAAGTTACTCAAAGATCTGTTTCTCCGTCGCCAGTACCTGTAAGTTATTTGTAGCTCTGCGGTAACTTCGTACTAGGGAAAATTTGTTTTGATTAAGTGGCTTTCAGTGCGGATAAAATTTTTATTTTTTATTTTATATTATTATATTTCTTTTTAGTTTTTAAATATTTCTAAATTTAGTACAATATAGTACAAATTTAGCACAGAAATTTAGTAATTTAGTATAAATAATTATAATGTTAAGTCTTAATGTGCTAAAATTACAGAAAAGTAATGAATTGTTTCTCAGTTTTTCAGCCGTGTTCATTAATTTCTCTTCACTTTTTTTAGCTTTCTAGTAACTATATTGCTCAGATTTCCAACGGCCAGCAACTCATGAGCCAGCCACAGCTACATAGGCGCTCTAACTCTTGCAGCAGCATTTCTGTAGCTTCCTGTATTTCGGAATGGGAGCAGAAAATTCCTCCGTACAACACACCTCTCAATGCCACATCTATTGCAAGGCGTAGGCAGCAGGAGCCAGGACAAAGTAAAACTTGTATCGTGTCAGACAGAAGGCGAGGGATGTACTGGACTGAAGGCAGGGAGGTGGTTCCTACATTCAGAAATGAGATAGAAATAGAAGAGGATCCTTGCTGCGGGGTTAGTGCCAGTATTGTTTTAAAGCATTGAAGCAATAGATTTTATCTCCTATGTTTTTATATAACTTGGTTCAGAAAGTTCAATGGAAAGATGGGTGGGCTCTGATATAAACAAGGTCGAATCTTTATGTTAGTTAATTTCAAAGAATCAGGTCACCCTGAAATTGAGGCTTGGCTCTTCATCTGAGAAAGCACAAACATGTTTGGCAACAGAAATAATGCCTTTTGCGTTCACTGAATCTGGCTCAGTTTGGCAGATCCCAAAGCAATCTGGTTTTCAGTTACATAAGCTATTGAGTAGCGCACAAAATCAGTGAATCAAAATCAGAGTACACTTTGAGTATTTTTTTCTTTTGGTTCCCTTTCTCCAACTTGGACCCCTAGTGTCAGTGGTCAAAGCGCTTGGCTGCTAACTGAAGGGTCAGTGGTTGGAACCTACCACCTGCTCCTCAGGGGAAAGATGTGGCAGTTTGCTTCCATAAGGATTACGGCCTTGAAAACGCTATGGGCAGTTCTATTCTGTCTTGTAGGGTCGCTATGAGTCGGAATCGACACGATGGCAATGGGTTTAGTTTTCTCCAAATTAAATATTTTGCTGTTTTTGAACTTTTGCTTTTTAAACTGTTTTCCCCAATCTTTTATCTTGACAAATTTCAAACCCAAAGTTGAAAGAATGGTACAGTAACATTTGACCCTTATGTAGATTTACCAATTGTTACTTTATTGATCTATAGACATTTTTTCCTTGGACCTTTCCTTTCCTTGGACCTTGGACCTTTCCTTGGACGACACTTTATCTCTAAATTCTTTACCACCCATATCTTAAGAATAAGGGTATTTTCCTTCATAACTACCATCCTTAGACCATCTAAGGAAGTTAACATTAATAAGTATCTTCTATATATGGTTCATACTTGTATTTTCCCAGTTGTCCCCAAACTTTCCTTTTTCAATCCATGATCTATCAAGGTGCATGCACTGCATTTGGTATAAAATAATCTCCTTAGTATAAAATAATCCCTTTACCTTTTTTAAAAAAATTTCATGACATCGACTATTTTAAGAGGCCAGGCCAATTGTTTTGTAATTATTGAAGGTTTAGATGTCCAAAAATTGCTTTTAATCTCAATTTTAATTGCTTTATCCAAATTTATAAGGGCTCTGCCGCATTCAAGGGTGTTTAAACAAATTCACTTACATTTTTGTTGTTACAGTTTTCCTTTGAATCTGAATAAATGGACCAAGTTAATACTCTTAATTTACATTTAGTAAAATCTTAACGTAGCTCATTTAGAATTTTTTTTCTAGACAAATTAATCTTATAGTAAATATCTGTTGTAGATTTTCTTGTATAATTTAGAGCTGTAAATGTGCCCACATTCCTGATTATTAAGGGATGGTGATGAATGCTAAAGTATTTAACAAGGCAACAGATTATTCTAAAGTCTCTTAAAGTACTTTACTGTGTGGATTTTGCCTCAAACATTTTTTAGGGAACAAATTATGGTGAATGGTCTTTCTGATCAACTCTAGTAAATCCCCTTATTTCATGAAAGTTTACACACTGTAAACTGTTCCAGGCCTGGTTGTGTCTGGTCAACACTAATGCAATGTAGCATCTAATTTGGTTAGGAGATATCTAAGAGGATTTACTGGAGATCTTTTAACTTCTCACCTGAAATCAAACTCTTTAGAAGTGCAGCAGAAAAGTTACTCTAAGGCTAATATATAAGCATCTCAGATTTTTTTGGTGAAAAATTACTTTGGGTGGACTAAATTTATATACTTCAGTGAGGAAGAAATTTGACATATCATTTATTTCATAAATACTAGTAGACTGTAAAGACATCTTCCCAAAAAGTCTGTGTGGTGCTTTTGAAGCTGGTTTCAGGATATATTGCTAAATATATTCAAGAAAACAATTGCCTTGCTAAATGTCAGATCATAAGAGCCAGACTTTTTCTTCAGTTTTAAGGGAACCATTTTAAGAATACAAAGTTTCTTGCTTCGAGGCTGAGCCATCTTTAGTGGCGAACTAGGCGGACCATGCTGTATAGTGTAATGATTAGAGCTGTCACCCGTGCTTCATTTATATCTTGTAATTATACAGGGCAAATGCTTCTGTTCTCCAGGTATGGATTTTGAAATGGAATCTTGATATTTGACCAGCTTTGAAGGATTTGGCCTGTGACAGACGTTTTATTTTCAGTTTTATAAACAGAAGATGTTCACAACATCCCAAAGATAACTAATTGCTTCAAATTATTAACTTTGAAAAGTATTTTTTTCTTAGGCTGAATGTGTTACATTTGATTTTCCCAGATTTACTTGACATTTGACTGGAAGCAGCTAGTTTTTTATTGCATGGTAGAGACTGATAGACTATATTCTTTATTGGGATCTTGGAACCTTTATGAAATGCTTTAGTGAAAAAAATTGGTTGTCATGTTTTAGCCATTATTGTACCTTGAACTTTTCATGAAGTTCTATTTTGAAATGTTAAGATACTAACTGAAGTGTTCAGAAGTAATTTATATTCTGATTGTCTTATATATTGAATTCTTAGTATACCTTGTGCTCTTAAGTATTTTGTCCTATTTAGCTTCACCAGCTTTTATTATTTTTTTCCCCGTCTTTGTATAAGGATTGTCATTGTCTCCTGCTTAGAGGCCTGTGATAAGTTTAGGGCTTTTATTGATCTTACTGAAGCTTTTAAAAGAGTTGTGGACCTAGTAGATTGCCTCATATTACCAGGCACAAATGTTGGTTTTTGATTTAGGATGAAAAATGAATTATTTGTCCTGAACACCACCTAAGCAGGAAAGACTAGCAGCATTACCAGAATTTTTCCTTCCATTCTTTGTTGAAAGGGAAGCTCCTTGGAAGAATATAGATATATACACACACAAGGTGGTATTAAAAGGTACTTGTTGGTTTTGTGCTTAAATACAAGGAGAACATTACTTGAATAGCATATTTAGCTTCTGATAATTTCGCACATTTGTTTTGATATTGTCATCAATAGAGCCAAACCTGCTGCACTTCTAACAATTCACTTAAATTAATTCTGGGTTATGCTTGTTTCTTGATTCTTCTTTCAATCTGATCAGAATGCACCACCAGTTCGTCTCCGACACAGACGATCACGCTCTGCAGGGGACAGATGGGTAGATCATAAGCCTGCCTCTAACGTGCAAACTGAAACAGTCATGCAGCCACATGTCCCTCATGCCATCACAGTATCTGTTGCAAATGAAAAGGCTCTAGCTAAGTGTGAGAAGTACATGCTGACCCACCAGGAACTAGCCTCCGATGGGGAGATTGAAACTAAACTAATTAAGGTAAAAACAAATTTACACAGGAAGAAAAAATATATAAAAAGTTAACAAAAAAAAAAAAAACATTTGCCCTACTATTCCTTTGACGACACATAGGCAGTGTCAACTGGAACATAAATGGGCGTTTGCTGTAACCTTTTTGTTTGTTAGCAGTAAACTAAAATAATGGCTTCACTTGTGAATCTGCTAAACTGGGACTAAATCTGCTGTTTTCCTCTGTATGGGGTTTCGATTCTCAGATTTGTTAGAGGAACTCCAGATAGAGCTGTAATGTGCTGGTTCTTTAATTACTGTATATTTAATTTTAACCCCCTCTGGAAAAGTAAACCTAAACAAAGAACTCCTAACTTTGCTATTTGTTAGTTCAAAATAAAAAGCCCACATGAATACTTGACCTATCAAAATTACTCAGCACTGAGCCACCCAAAGCCCTGTCCCAGGAGGAGACTTGCCTGTCTGTAGAAGAATTTTCTTTTGATCATCAAGTCAATGAATAATCAGAGAAGTCAAACACAAGACTGAGGGGAAAAAAAGCTTTTCATTTCAAATTCAGTTTAGAGGATAGTTGCTATAATTACAGTACTGACAGTGAACATACGGGTGCTACACCCAGAGAAGAAGGTTCAACGCCTTAGAACTTTTAGAAGTTTCTGGCAGATTTCTTGAAACTTACTGCAGTTTAGCTTTTAAAATTAAAGGCTGACCAAAAAGGAAATTTTTTTCCCCTTCATGAATGCTACTGATTATATTGGATTGACTTCTCTTGTTTAGTAAGAGACATATACTCAAATTTCTATAAGTTTTTTAATAGTACAACCTCATCAGTCCCAAGTACCATCTGGTTTTGTGGGTGGGAGTTTCCATAAAACAGTATAGCCCTGAGATCAATTTGAAATACAATATATGTGTGTTTATTACTTGGATGTATCAAAGTGTAACAGTGACCTTTTCTTTTGGCTTTAGGGTGATGTTTATAAAACAAGGGGTGGTGGACAATCTGTTCAGTTTACTGATATTGAGACTTTAAAACAAGAATCACCAAGTGGGTGAGTGATCATCAAAGATGTCTCTCTACAATGCTGTTTTCTTAGCTGCTCTCTCGAGGTACAAAATATCCTATAAAATTTATCATTCATTATCCGAAGGGGTGTAGATTAGTATTGCCCTTTCTAATATTTTTCCTGTTCTTAGTTGCAAAAATAATTGTTTCCCCTTTTTCAGTAGTCGAAAGCGGAGATCTTCCACAGTAACACCTGCCCAACCAGATGGTACAGAGTGTGAATGGACCGATGTAGAAACAAGGGTAGGGGTAAATTAAATACTCGCTTAATAAAAATTAGGGGTGTCATGTTTTAAACCCCACAGCTGTAGCTTATTATGCTCTTTGAAGAAGCTCAGGTACAGTCTCTTGGTGCCGTGGAGTTTATAGGCTTGTTAGTTACCAAACTTGTGAAGACACCTTGTGTTTGTTTGGGTCTGGCCATAATGGGGCTCTTCAGTTTAAAGCTTGTTTTTGTGCAGAGGGACAGAGCCATAGAATTGAGTCAGAGAGTATCAGTCTAGAATAACAAGAATTCACATCAAATTGATGGGAATCTTCTCAGAGGCAGCTCGCTGGCAATTCCCTGGGTGACTGTGGTATTCCTGATGACAGCCTCATGTGCAAAGAGCATGGGAATGTGGGGGCTGTCGGGGCTGGGAGGCCAAGTTCCGGCCCTGGCCAGTAATGTTCTCAAGAACTCCTCTTCCTCATATTTGAATGAGAGAAGTTGCCAGGATGTGGCCTTTGTCTGAAATAAATTGCAAGTATCTGACCAGTATTTTAACATAGGCATCTTTGCTGAACTATAGAAAGCAACGCTGGCTTTCATCTTGGTTGAGCCTGTTCTTTAAATAGAGCTGAGAGGAGCTATATTTCCTCTTCGTGTTTTTCCTGTCAGTGTTCCATGGCTGTGGAGATGAGAGCGGGATCTCAGCTGGGACCCGGCTATCAGCATCACGCACAACCCAAGTGAGTAGCTGGGGCATTGCTGTGTGTGTATGCCCTCTTCTGTTTCCACCACTATGCCTTCTCCCTACCAACCCCTTGCTTTTAAGAGGAAAGCAGTGATTTCTATGTAGACCTTGGCATAGCTGGGAAGACTGTAGTAGGCAGCAGCAGTGCTGAGAGCTCGGAAGGCTGGAGAAAAGCATTCAGGGTGGTGAGAACAGGAGGTGATGGAGACTGTTCATATTTGGCCAGCTCCCAAAGCTTTCAGAGGCTGAAGTGAGATCGCCTGTAAAGAGGGAATGCTAAAGGCTTTAGTGTGGAATTTAGTGTCATTCATTCTTTCCTGACTTGCCTCTTGGTCTTGCTACAGCAAGAATGTTCAGTACAGTAAATAAAGCTGAATGGCAGGATTTATGGTAGGCAAAGGAGTCACATGTTTTACCCCCTCTATTAAACACTGTCAGGCGTCTGGCCTGTTTTTCCATATTTTAGTAAAAGCCGTTCTTTTCAGATATCTCCTATACAAGCCCATGTGTCCACTTTCAACACATGCATTCCTGAGGCAATTTGCAAAAGCATTAAGACAGGATAGAGGAAGATGAGAAATCCTGTTTTCTAAGTTTAATGCTAGATAAGCATATACTACAAGTTATTTGCTCTCTCAGAAGGACGTGAATTTTCTTTTGATAAAATAGGAATTCTCAAAGCGCTCCTAAAGATTCAGTTTTATGAACGCATCAGTAATTGCAACATTCATCACTAAATGCTGGTTTTTATATTTTAGGCGCAAGAAGCCGTAAGCTGAGACAGTCCCAGAAACAAAAGAACGTTTTCATTTGTGTTGGTGATTCCTTCAAAGCCATGCCAGAAGCACTCTTCTGAGTCGTCTTGTGGAACTCCAGCTCTGTTGAGCATCACAGACCAGGGATATAGCGTACACTGGCCTACATCAAAGCTTCCCCTACGGTTCCAAAGACATCTAGTACTTAACGACCTTTTTATATTATATGCCTTCCCATATTTAATATTAATAGCAGAGAGAGACCCCTTTTCCTCATTGCTGTATGAACTTTTTTATAATGCAATTTTTTTGTATATTTCTTGTATGCATATAAACTAATTCATGCAAGTGTTTGTCTTGGGTGATTCAGGAAGACTATATCTAGATCATGCCTTATTTTTTACTGTGACTTTTCCAGCTCTGGTCTGAATATTTCTTTAAGGTTTTGTAAAGAAAACAAATGCTGCTATTGATTAGCTGTAAGAATGCACTTTAGACATATTTAACAATTCAAACTTTCAAAATAAAGATGTCAGTGACCAATCATAAGACCATTTTAGGGAGTTATTTTAAATTTTGTATGTATATGTTCACTTTCTGACAGCTATCCCAAAAGAGTTCAAAGAAAACCCCAAGAACTACAGGGTTATGTGGAGGTCGTTAATAACACTTACTCCCAGCACCCAGTGGAGTCCTTTGCATGTAGCTGGCGCTCAGTATTTGTGGGATGAATGAAAAGAAAGCACTAAAAGTATGAAGTGATTTGCCGTTAAATGGACAATGTCATTTTTTGTTTGACAATAATATATACATATTAAATATGCTCTTCTAGACATTTAAACAAAAACACGGTTTGGGGATGACACAAATCAGAAAATGTACTATTGAAAAGCATGGTGAAATAATTCATTCTTGTCTGGATGACATATAATTTTTTTTTCTGATTAAATCTGGGTATCTTGAGGCTGAGTTTTTTTACTAAAATGATAGTTTTTTTAAAATCAGTTTTTCATTAATGGTGAAGATGTATTAGTCTTGGCCAAAAGGAAAAGGGCAAAGTCGACTTATTTGTCACTAATCATGTAACAGTAAGCAATGGCATTTATAGGTGCACTTTTAGAATGCTTCAGACTATCACTGTAAAGGTTAAATCCTGTTTCAGGAGATGCAACAGGATTTAGTCTCCACTTCTGGATTATTTCATAATTTTTCAAATGGCATATTGCTTATTCTTTTGAAAAGATAATACACGGAAAGTTTTTACTATGATAGAGGAATCTGGGGCAATGAAATATGTCTTAAGGAACACTATGTTCAATCTACTAAGTCCTTGGGCTACAAAAAGTAAAGGGAAATGCAAGGACAACTAATGCTTTTCTTAAATAGGTCTAAAGAATAGCTGTGGCTTGTTGAGTATTCACTGTGTGTCTGGTACCCTGTACGGACACCCATAATTTATAGGTAAAGAAACTGAGATTGGGAGAGTTAGGATTTGCTCAAGGACCCCAAAATTGTAAATATTTAAGTACAACTCTGACATCCAAGCCCTTTAACTACTTTGCTATGCTAATGATTGTGTCTCTATAGAATTTCCTAAGCCCTAGTTTGTTAATTTTAGTTGGCAATTTCTGATGTTTTATAAAACAGCATTGTCTGTTCAGATCATTATTGTTGTTAGGTGCTGTCGAGTCGATTCTGACTCGTAGCTATACTATGTACAACACAAGAAACACTGCCTGATCCTGTGCCATCCTCACAATTGTTAAAAAGTGCTTGAGCCCATTGTTGCAGCCACTGTGTTAATCCATCTCGTTGAGAGTCTTCCTCTTTTTTGCTGACTCTCTATCAAACATGATGTCCTTCTCCAAAGTATGTGAGACAAAGTCTCCCCATCCTTCCTTCTAAGGAGCGTTCTGGTTGTACTTCTTCCAAGATAGATCTGTTTGTTCTTCTGGCAGTCCATGGTATATTCAATATTCTTCGCCAACACCATAATTCAAAGGCATCAATTCTTTGGTCTTCCTTATTCACTTTCCAGCTTCTAATGCAAATGAGGCGACTGACAACACCATGGCTTGGGTGAGGCGCACCCTAATCCTTAAAGTAACATCTTTGCTTTTTAACACTTTAAAAAGGTCTTTTGCAGATTTGCCCAATGCAATGCGTCACTTAATTTTTTTAAATTGTGCTTTAGGTGAAAGTTTACAGCTCAAGTTAAGTTTCTCATACATTTATACACACATTGTTAGGTGATCCTAGTTGCTCTCCCTATATTGTGACAGCACACTCTTCTTTTCCACCTCTGATTTCCCGTGTCCGTTCAACCAGCTCCTAACCCTCTCTGCCTTCCCATCTTGCCTCCGGACAGGAGCTGCCCATTTAGTCTTGTGTATCTCCTTGAACTAAAGAAGTACACTCTTCATGAGTATCACTGTATGTCTTATAGTCCAGTCTATTCTTTGAAGAGTTGGCTTTGGGAATGGTTTTAGTTCTGGGTTAACAGTCTGAGGGCCATGTCTTCTGGGGTCCCTCCAGTCTCAGTCTGAGACCATTAAGTCTAGTCTTTCCACTAGAATTTGAATTCTGCACCCCACTTTTCTCCTGTACCATCAGAAACTTTATGTTGAGGTGTAATCCATACTGGAGGCGGCAGCCTTTTATCTTCAACAGTAAGTGCTTCAAGTCCTCTTCGCTTTCAGCAAGCAAAGTTGTGTCATCTGTGTACTGCAGGTTGCTAATGAGTCTTCCTCCAATCCTGATGCTGCATTCTTGGTCATGCAGTCCAGCTTCTTAGATTATTTGCTCAGCATACAGACTGAACAAGTATGGGGAAAGGATACGCACACCTTTCCTGACTTTAAACCACACAGTATCTCCTTGTTCTTTTCGAACAACTGCCTCTTGGTCTATGTACAGGTTCCGCAAGGGCACTATTAAGTGTTCTAGAATTCCCATTCTTTGCAATATTATCTGTAATCTGTTATGATCCACACAGTCGTGTGCCTTTGCATAGTCAATAAAACACAGGTAAACATCTTGCTGGTATTCTCTGCTTTCAGCTAGGATCCATCTAACATCAGCAATGATATCCCTCATTCCACATCCTCTCCTGAATCCAGCTTGAATTTCTGGCAGTTCCCTGTCGTGTACTGCTGCAACCGTTTTTTAATTATCTTCAGCATTATTTTACTTGGGTGTGATATTAATGATACTGTTTGATAATTTCTGCGTTCGGTTGGATCACTTTTCTTTGGAATGGGCACAAATAAGGATCTCTTCCAGTTGGTTGGCCAGGTAGCTGTTTTCCAAATTTCAAGGAAGATAAGTGAGTTCTTGCAGCGTTGCAGCTGTTTGTTGAAACATCTCCATTAGTATTCTGTCAATTTCTGGAGCCTTGTTTTTTGCCAATGCCTTCAGTGCAGTTTGGACTTCTTTCAGCACCACTAATTCTTGTTCATATGCTACCTCCTAAAATGGCTAAACGTAGACGAATTCTTTTTGGTAGTGACTGTGTACTCCTTCCATCTTTTGATGCTTCCTGCATCATTCAATATTTTGCTCATAGAATCCTTCAATACAGCCACTCAAGACTTGAATCTTCTCCAGTTCTTTCAGCTTGAGAAATGCCGAGTGTGTTCTTCTCTTTTGGTTTCCTAACTCCAGGTCTTTGCATACTTCATTATAATACTTCGTCTTTTTGAGCCACCCTTTGAAATCTTTTGTTCAGCTGTTTTACTTCCTCTTTTCTTCTATTTGCTTTAGCTACTCTGTGTTCAAGTTTCAGAGTCTCTTCTGACATTCATTTTGGTCTTTCTTTTTAATGACCTTTTACTTTCATGTATGATGTCCTTCATGTCATCCCGTAACTGGTCTGGTCTTTGGTCATTAGCATTCAATGCATCAAATCTGTTCTTGAGATGGTCTCTAAATTCAGGTGGGATATACTCAAGGTGGTGCTTTGGCTCTTGTGGACTTGTTCCAATTTTCAACTTCAGCTTGCATATGAGCAATTGATGGTCTGTTCTGCAGTCAGTACCTGGCCTTGTTCTAACTGGTGATACAGAGCTTCTCCATCATCTCTTTCCACAGATATAACCGATTTGATTCCTGTGTATTCCATCTCGTGAGGTCCACGTTTATAGTCACTGTTAATGTTGTTGAAAGAAGGTATTTCCAATGAATAGATTGTTGGTCTTGCAAAATTCTATCATGTGATCTCCATTGTCATTTCTATCACCAAAGCCATTTTCCAACTACCGATCCTTCATCTTTGTTTCCAACTTTTCCATTCCAATCATCAGTAATTATCAATGCATCTTGATTGCATGTTTGATCAATTTCATTAGTGGTTGGTGCATAAATATGAACAGTCGTATTAATTGCTCTTCCTTGTGGGCATATGGATATTATCCTGTCCCTGACAGCATTGTACTTCAGGACATATCTTGAAATGTTCTTCTTGACAATGTTGTTCCTCTTCAATTTGTCATTCCCGCTATAGTAGACCATATGTCTGATTCAAACTGGCCAATACCAGTCCATTTCAGCTCACTAATTTCTAGAATAGCTACCTTCAAGTGTTTCATTTCATTTTTGACAACTTCCAACTTTCCTGGATTCATACTTAGTACATTCCACATTCCAGTTACTAACGGATGTTTGCAGCTATTTCATTTTGAGTCATACCACATCAGCAAATGAAGATTTCAAAAGCTTGACTCCATCTACATCATTAAGGTCTGACTCTCCTTTGAGGAAGCAGCTCTTCCCCAGTTGTATTTTTGATTGCCTTCTAACTTGAGGGGCTTATCTACCAGCACTGTATCAGAAAATGGTCCACTGATATTCATAAGGTTTTCTTCACCACGAGTAACCTTGCTGGTGTTTGAAATACTGGTGGCAAAATTTCATGCATCACAGCAACACACAAGCCACCACAGTATGACAAATTGACAAATGAGTGGTGATTATTTCATACCTTACATTACTTAGTGTTTTAGTTTCCAGACCTTTCAGTAATTATCCGATTTGATCTGTGCCACTCAAAGACAAACAGGACCGTCATTATTTGCACTGTACAGAAGCAAAGTGCTCTGTTCTAGGTCATGTACTTAAGTGATGGAGTCTAACTGGATTCCTTGTGCAACTTTTTTTTCACTTAACTGTGTTTTTCAGATTTATCCATATTGACACATCTACGTTCACTGCTTTATGCTTATTCCGCACTTACCTATAACCCTACTGAGAAAGTATTTCCAATTTATACACATAGTGCTCAGGAAACAGCCTTGTATTTGGACCCTCACGCATATAAGAGTTTCTCTAGGTAGAAATCAGGACTGGAATTGCTGGTTTCAGGCTATGCACATCTTCAACTTTAATCATGTTTTGCCAATTTGGTCTTCAAAGTGATTGTGCCTACAACACATTCCAGTACCAATACAAAGCTTATATAGTTTTAAAAGGTTATGTATTTAAAATTTCGGGGTATTTACCACTGTTGGCCAAGATTTTCCCAAGCAGGATCCTGAAGAGGGGGATTCCGATAAAGTTTGGTCAGGGATGATTACGAGATAATGGCACTGACTTAATAAAAGTTTCCTAAAAGTAAAATTTGCCATCTGTAAAATGGAGAGAGTACCTACCTCTTCTATTATGTGTGGATTAAATGAATCCTTTCAGAGTGTGGATCAATACACAGTAGGCTCTCAAATGCTACAGCTATCTTAAAGCTCAAGTTTCTTCTTTCCTTCTATATTACTTATATAGAAGTCACTGAGCAAGCACTGAAGCTTCCAAAATGTAACATAGCTCCTGCCCTCCCGGAGGTCACTGTTGCTGGAACACGGGCTGGCGACACAAATAATCACCTAAATAGTGTTACAAGGGTTACAGTAGCTACTGCTAAGTCAAACCAATGGGGGTGAATTCCATTTACCGAGGGAACGACTCTCTAAAAAATACTTAAAATATTCATAAGCCCTGGGTTTTAACAAAACCAAGCGAGTCTGTACTTCGCTCCTCCGAGCAACTTTTTAAACACGCAACCTGCGTCACGAGTTGCGCGCAGGCGCCTCAAAACCTTCCTCGCCGACGGTTCCCGCTCCGCCTCTTCCGCCAGGAGCGCGCGCCGATTGGTCCATGTGGCCGGCATAAGAAGCTGCGCGCAAGCGTGCGGACTCCTTTCCTCAGCTGCGACTAAGGTGCTCGGTTCTTCTGAGGAAGCTAAGGCCGCGTTGGGGTGAGGCGCTCACTTCATCCGGCGACTAGCACCGCGCTCGGCAGCCGCCAGCCCAGCACTCCCGCGCCATGGCCTCAGTCTCCGAGCTCGCCTGCATATACTCCGCCCTTATCCTGCACGACGACGAGGTGACCGTGACGGTGAGTGCGGGCCCGGGCCGGCGGCGGCGGCGGCCTGCTCCCCACGTATCCTACGAGGCGGGCCGCATCCGCCGAGGCGCACACCCGGCCCACGTGCCCGCGCGGAAGGGTCTGGATTCGCGGACGGCGGTGCTGTCTGACGTGGAGAACCCTATTTAGAAAAACCTTCCGCGGCGCCTGGCGTCCTAGTTCGCACGTGGTTCTATTCCAGGACACTTAATACCTCCTCCTGGTGTGCTTTTAAAGCATTGATGACCTTGAACCGCTTTGGTCTTGTATAGTCGGCCTGTGGCGAGGCGGCGCGGTGTGGAGGAGAGCGCTCTGCTCTTGTCTCTTGTAAATTAAAATAGCTGTGGGACTCGGACAAGTTACTGGTCCCACCGTGTGCAATGGCAGCGGTGAACTCGCAGCATTGCAAGGTCCCTGGCACGCAGGCGCAGATGCATTTCGTTTGCTCGGAACCATACAGAGTTTAAGAAGAAGTGTTTAAATTTGCAGTATTTTGGAGATGCTCACGAAAGCTACGTTTTGTTCTCTGACCGGTTGGCATTTTATTTGTTTTAGGAGGATAAGATCAATGCCCTCATTAAAGCAGCCGGTGTAAACGTTGAACCTTTCTGGCCTGGCTTGTTTGCAAAGGTGAGATGATGTTGGGCAAGTGACCTTTAGCAGCGTGGGGAAGACCCATTGTTTACTATTAGGGCGGATGTACACACCAAGGCACTTTCAGCAAGTGTCAGCAGGCCCCATATTCTACTGGAGTTTCGCGTTCATACTTTATTAAGGTTTCAGTTTATCGTGCTTTGTGTGGCTTTCTCTCTTCTTGATCTCAGACTCTGGTTTCTCTTCCCTCCTGTTCTCAAACCAAGGTTAACAAAACCAGGTAATTTCTTCTCAAAATGTGCCCTCAGTGTTACTCCAGGCAAATCCTTCCAGTATGATGATGTGACATCGAGTCATTTCGACTCGTAGGATCCTGTGGTTTAAGAAAAATTGAATTTTATTGACCATTTATCGTGTGAGGGATATGAAAGACTAATGAAGATAGGGTTCTTGGCCAAGGTACTTTGGCAGTAGCTACTTGCCATTGTATTGGTTACTTAATCTCAGGCAAGCGAAAGTAATAACGACCTCTAATTCCTTGCGTTGAACCTTGGAAAATGGCGACATGGAACTGTAGAAAGGGTCCTCGTTTGAGTGTTTCAGGAAGCTTGAATTCCCTGCCAACAAGTTAAAACAGCTGGTTTAGGTATTAGCTGTCTATAGGTATTAGCTGTCTGAGTCTTGACGATCAAAAGCCAAACCAGAAATTGTTCATGAGCAGACAAAATGTAAGGTGATTCCAGCACAGGAGAAGGCAGAGTAGTGTTGGGAACAGCTGACTGTAAGTTGGAAGGAGGTGCAGTATTTTTTTTTTAACCAGTTGAGTAATATAACCGAAGTGTTTTCGACCTGTGCCGCGTGTGTTGCAGGCCCTGGCCAACGTCAACATTGGGAGCCTCATCTGCAATGTCGGGGCTGGTGGACCTGCCCCAGCAGCTGGGGCTGCACCAGCGGGAGGACCTGCCCCCTCCACTGCTGCTGCCCCAGGTAGGAAGCTTTTGAACTTTTCGTATGGGAGGGAGGGTGGAGAGCAACAAATAGTTTTATAGTGAAGCTCATTATACTTAGATGATGTATGGAAACCTGAGGCATTGCTTAGTGGTGCTGAGTAAAGTCAGAGGGGGCAATTTTGAAAGGTCTGGAGTGCAATCTTCAGAGCCTAAAATACTGAGATGCGATTTTGACTTTTTTCTCTTTTAGCTGAGGAAAAGAAAGTGGAAGCAAAGAAGGAAGAATCTGAAGAGTCCGATGATGACATGGGTTTTGGTCTTTTTGACTAAATCCCTTTTGTAACATGTTCAATAAAAGGTGAACTTTTTGCAGCTGTTGATTTTACTACTGTTTGGGGATGTGGTCTGCAAAGATGGTCTCGCCTCTTCAACCCTTTCTTCTGTCGTGACACATGGCCTGGTTTTTTTCCTTGCCACCATCTCCAGGTGGGAGATCGTAACACAATCTTGACACTGTAGTAAGAATGCACCTCAGGTTACAGTATGTGGGAGAAGAAAGGGTCAGAGCAGACTGCTCAGCCTCTGGTGGTAGACTGTTGGCTGCTGTATCCCTAGAGTTTAGTTAAACAATACCTAGTATGTATGTATTGTCCCTCAGCAAATGCTGGTTGATTTTCATTCACAGCAGCACTAAAGCAGTGGGGAAAATTGACTTAAGTCCTCGGTTAACACCAAGTAGATGAAGCCAAAATTCAAACGTGTATTTTGAGAAACTAACAAAGTTAACAGCGTGGAGTGGAAGCTGATCATCACTTTACAAAATGCCAAGACATGCAGGGCACACTAGTCATGACTACTGAACCAGTTCAAATTTTTCTAAATGGCATTCAGGGTCCTAGAAGGGAAGGAAGAATAAAACCAAGGGTTGGGGTAGTAGGAAAGAACAAAGGTTTGAGCAGAGCAAGAAAAACAGCCATGCTAGAAAGGAGAAAACTCAGACTGGCTTTCATCTACAGTCTCCACTAAACACCAGAGCACTTGCTGCCATATGTACAATAGCATCTAGGATTTCCTGAAGGCCAGACACTTGAGCACCTTTTTCATAGTCTTATTTACATTAGGGCAGAGGCCCAGGGGCCTTAACATATTTACTAAAATAGCAGGCTTCCAAAGAATCTTCCAAGTTGTACTTGATTTAATTCGCTGAAGCTTCTCACTGCTTTGAGTGTTAGAAAGTCCGATTAAAAATACTCATGCTGAAAGACATGTTTCACCCTAGAGACCTTTTGCTGTGTTATCTTCTGTCTCCTGGGTCACTGACTCCTACCCGAGTTAATTCCGACTGCATACCTCAGGAGGGCCAGCCCGGCTCAGAGCAGACGTGTAATTATATCTGACCGGTTGTTGAGCGCTTGTCTCCCACTCCATAACTAAGTTCTCGTCGCCCAGGGCTGTCTGGTTTGCTCGTCTGTACCTGCAGTACTACAGTGGGGGCACGTTGTCGGTGTTCAGTGTGTGTTTATCAGGCCGACTCGCGTTTTACACGTGAGGAAACGGGCCCAGATAGGAGGAACTGGAGCAGCAGCAATGATGAGCAGAGCCGAGCCTAGAACCCACGTCTCTGGGCAGGTAAATGCTCTTTCCACTGCAGCGCCAACATAGCCTGCCACCCCACAAGCCTTCCAGGTTGCTGGGTACAAGTATTCAGGCCTTCCCGTGGTAACTCCCACCAAGATAAGGAAGGTACCGGGTCTAACCTTACACATGCCTTCATCCTAAAGTGATAGGAGGTCGCACTGGTGGCGCAGTGGTTAAGGACTCGGCTGCTAGCAGAAAGGTCAGTGGTTGGAACCCACCAGCCACTCTGGGAGAAAGATGTGAGTCTGCTCCGAGACTGAGGTCAGGTGTCTGGCTGGTTTTCTCACTTCACCTGGGCTTCTACGCCGTAGAGAACCCAGCACCTCTCTAGCAGAAGAGCTGTACGCTTGCACTCAGGTTTTTACAGCCCGCCGCTCGGCGATCAATGTCCGCGCTGGGAGGAAGGGGTGGGGAGAGAGGCGGGGTTAGTAGCTGAGCGTGGCCCAGGAAACAGGAACTTCTCAATTGCACTATTGGCCACTAGGGGAGCGCGCGAGCCCTGGGTCTCTTGCGTCTGTCCATTGGCCTCAATCCCGCTAGTAAAAGGTTTTAAGTCTGCGTTACTGGTGGCCTCATGGTCCCGGGCTCTGGATTAGTCGGTTAACGCAACTAGTCTGTTGTGTAAACCACTATATCAGGAGATTGCAGCACTTTCATTAACCAGAGGGAACGGGGCCAGGCAGATTTGTAAATCGGTTCCTGTCACAGGGCTGTTCTTTTGAGGACTGGAGAACAACAGATTTGGGCGCTGGGGCATTAATAGTTTAGATCACGTTAACTAGTTTCCCATCCTTTTACTTTGGGAAAACGGATCCTGGATGTCCCCAGAAGGTTCATTTCCAGAAAGCGCTTTTGCCCAGAGAAAGGAGCAGAAAGATTTGCTCTACTTTTGCGGTTTATCATCTATTTCTAATCTTGGTTGAATCACCTGGGAAGCTGTTTAAAAACAGAATGAAATAAACGACAACAAAGCCTGCCTCCTAGCCCTCTCCACAGGCCCCAGAATCAGCACTTGTGGGGAGGCAACCTGGAATCTGTATTTTTAACAAGCTGTCCTGATGAATCTGAAATCCTGAATTGGGATTGGAAACTCCTGGATTAGAACAAACTCAGCCCCTAGCCCAGGGCCTGACATATGGAAGATGCATAATGAACATTATTTGAAAGAATGAATGAATGGGTATGTTAATGAATGAAGGAATTAATAAGTGCCTTCCCATTTTGAAGGAAGATGTAAAAACTTTGGGAAAATGGACTGTTAGTTTGAATGTAAATTGCTACAACTTTTAAGGAGGGTTACTTGTTTATATCTCAAAATTAAAACAGCCCTTACTTTCTACTCAGGAATTTCATTTGGAGGAACCTGTCCTTTAAATATATGTATAATTTCATTGAAGCATTGTTTGTAACAGATAAAGAGAGTGAATGACAGGAAGTGGATTGAAGAAATGTTGATGCTTTCCTGCAGCCATTAGCAGGGAGTGCTGCTGTTGAAAGATACCCAAGATACCTTGTTAAGTGAAAAAGGCAAGCTGCAGACCAGTATGTATAATATGCTCCTGTACGCACTCGTCTGTCAGTTGGTTGCATTGTGGCGATTTGTGTGTTGCTATGGTGCTGGACTCATAGC